ACTTGTCAGTGCTTGATGCTATGGGCAATAGTCAAAGGCAGGGATTTTGGCGCTCTAACCCTGGCCTACCAAAGCCAGGTCTTGGGACATGAACATCACCTCTTTGATGTGGAGGAGCCTGAGCTTGAGAGATACTGGCTAGATATAGTTGGGCTCAATTCAATGTACAGCATGGGCTCTGGAACCAATCTCCTTGAAAGGGGTTGGACTTTATTCTGCTCTAGTGTTGCCTGTGGTGAGAGGTGCTGAGCTGGTGTGGGTCTACTTTTGGCCCCCTGACTTAGTTGGAGTTTATCCCAGTATATAAGAGGGTAGCTTCCCCGCACCTTCAGATGGGGGAATGGGCACTGACAGTCATTTGCGCCTATGCACCAAATAATTGCTTGTAGTATCCAGAATTTTTGGAGTCCTTAGTGGAGGGTGCTGGAAGGCGCATTAGCTGGGGATTCCTTCGTTCTGCTGGGGGACTTCAATGCCCACATGGGTAATGACAGTGTGACCTGGAGGTGCGTGATTGGGAGGAATGGCCTCTTAGATCTGAACCCAAGCAGTGTTCTTTTGTTGGACTTCTGGGCTAGTCACAGTTTGTCCATCACAAACACCATGTTTGAACATAAGGGTGTCCATAATTGCACGTGGCACCAGGACACCCTAGGTTGCAGATCGATGAYTGACTTTGCAGTCATGTTGGAGTTTGCTAATCCAGTCTACATGTCTTTTGTGGTCTTGTAGAAGTCAATCAACCATGTTCCTTGAGGTGCACCATGGGGAGTGCTACGCAACTGTGGGATTATGGGTCCATTGTTACAGGTCATTCAGTCCTTATACAAGCGATGCAAGAGTTTGATTTGCATTGCCGGTAGTAAGTCAGACCCCCTCAGAGCAGGAGTTGGACTCCGCCAGGGCTGCCTGTTGTCACCAATTCTGTTCATAACTTACATGGACAGAATTTCTCTGTGCAGCCAGGGGGCRGAGGGAGTCCGGTTCAGTGGCCTCAGGATTTCTTCTCTGCTATTTGTAGATGATGAGGTTCTGTTGGTGTCATTGAGCCATGATCTTCAGCTCTCACTGGAGCAATTCACAGCTGAGTGTGAAGTGGTTGGTTTGAGGACCAGCACCTCCAAATCTGAGTCCATGAACCTTAGTAATGAAAAGGGTGGATTTCTGTCTTCGGATCGGGGATTTAGTTCTGTCTCAAGTGGAGTTCAAGTATCTTTGGGTCTTGTTTGCGAGTGAGGGAAGAATGGTGCGTGAGACTGATAAATGGATCGGTGCATTGTCCACAGTTTTGGAGACTCTGTACTGGTCTGTTGTGGTGAAAAGGGAGCTGTAAGGCAACGCTCTCTGTTTATCGGTCAGTCTACGTTCCTACCCTCACCTATGGCCACAAACTTTGGGTAGTGACCGAAAGAACAAGATCACAGATGAGTTTTTTTTCCGCAGGGTAGCTGGACACTCTTTTAGAGATAGGGTGATACGTTCAGTTATCCAAGAGAGACTCAAAGCAGAGTCACTGCTCCTCCATATCAAAAGGAGCCAGTTGAGGTGACTCAGGCATCTGGTAAGGATGCCTCCTGGACACCTCCCTATGGAGGTGCTTCAGACTTGTCCAACTGGGAGGAGATCACAAGGAAGATCCAAGACACGCTGGAGAGACTATGTCTCTCGGCTGGCCTGGGAACTCCTTGGAGTCCTTCCAGAAGAGCTGGAAGAGGTGGATGGAGAAAGAGAGATCTGGGCTTACATGTTAAAGCTGCTGCCACTGACACCTGATTGACTAAGCAGATAATGATGGATGGATGGATGGATGGATGGATGGATGGATGGATGGATGGATGGATGGATGGATGGATGGATGGATGGATGGATGGATGGATGGATGGATGGATGGATGGATGGATGGATGGATGGATGGATGGATGGACTGATGGATGGACTGACGGATGATCATTTTCAACCTAATTAAGTACACTACAAAGACAAGTTATTTAATGTTCAAAAATAAACTTTACTTTATTTTATTTTATTTATCCATTTATTTATTTTGTAAATATTAGCTCATTTTTAATTTAATGCCTTCAACCTGTTCCAAAAAAGCTGGGACAGGACAGGGGTATGTTTATCTCTGTTTTACATCCGCTTTCCTTTTAAAAACACTCAATAAATGTTTGTGAACTGAGGACAAATGTTGAAGCTTTGAAGGTGGATTTTTTTCCCGTTTTTGCTTGATGAATAACTTCAGTTACTCAACAGTCCATGGTCTCCATTGTCGTACTTTTTTCTTCATAATGCTTCACACATTTTCAATACGAGACAGGTCTGGACTGCATGCACACCAGTCTAGAAAGCTACACTGTTGTAACACTGTTGTGCAGAATGTAGCTTGGCATTGTCTTGCTGAAATACTGTAAGCAGGGGGAAAGATGTGGCTTGGATGACAGCATATGTTGCTCCAAAACCTGTATGAAGCTAATGGTGGTTTCACAGATGTGAYAGTTCTCCATGCCATGGGCACTAATACACCTCCCATACCATCAGAGAGGCTGGCTTTTGAACTGATAACMATCTGGACAGTCCTTTTCCTCTTTGGCCCGGAGGACACATCGTGCATTATTTCCAAAAGCAATTTGAAATGTGGACTCATCAGACCACAGGACACTTTCCCACTTTTTGTCAGTCCATCTCAGATGAGCACGGGTCCAAAGAAAAGCCATGTTGAAAAGGGTTTGCAAATTAGCATATTCTGTTTTTATTTCTGCTTTACAAKMAKCCTAACTTTATTGGAATTAGGTGTKTAGAATATTAAGAACAATTATTTWTTCYATTTTAATTTTTCATTTGTTTTTACAGGTGATCCTTGAACACCACAGAAGAATAATTTAACAGGCATGGCTGTTGCAGGAAGTTTGTCTTTTCACTTCATTTTCAAACTTCTCTTTTTCATGCTTCATTTTAACCTCCCACTGACCTATTTACTAAAGCACTGCAGCATAGATTATCAGGAAACCTCATCTGCTGATCTTTCTTTAAACTGTGTAAACAGGAAACTTGCCACTGTCCCTGATTATATCCCCCAAAATGTTGATTCAATAAAACTGGACATAAATGTGCTTGAAGTAATTACTAAAGAAGATTTTGGTGGCTTGGTAAAGCTGAGAATACTGAGTCTAGGATCAAATAGTATTGTTTTTATAGAGGGAAAATCCTTCATCAGTTTGGTATCGCTACGATTACTAAACTTGAAAGATAACCAGTTAACCAACCTGACCAGTAACATGTTTCAGGGTCTGTCCAACTTCACTGGACTCAACCTCAATAACAACAAGATTCAGTTCATTCATAAGTCAGCCTTCCAGTTCCTGATCAGCTTATAAACCCTGGATTTAGGTTTTAATCAGCTCCAACAGGTCAGTGACATTCAGCACATCTTACAGCTACCACAAATACAGAGGATTAACCTCGAATACACTCAGTTTTCTTCCTTTGAGACCAAAGACTTGCTGATGAATTTCTCAAGTCTTAAAGAGTTGGATATTTCTTGTAGAAACTTGAAACTTTTCAGCATCACAACTCCAGTTTTTCCTTACGTAGACACAATAGCTCTTGGCATGACTGGAAATTGTTTTAACCTTGAATGGGACATACCTGACAAAACGCTGCTGAGGAACATAACACAGCTTCGTCTTACTGGGTCGGCTCTTTCATTAGAAGGGACCCAGAAAGTCCTGCAGAGTCTCGACTCACTGAGGCATCTCAAACTAGTTCCAGGAGAAAACTGGTTTGAAAGGGGATTTTTGTCCACAGTCTGTAAAATACCAACACTGCGGAAGCTGGATTTGTCTGAMAACATCCTTTACAATTTGACTTATAATCTCGCTCCTTGCTCTCWKCTCACAGAYGTTGATCTGACCAGCAGCTGGGTAACTGAAATACCAAAAGGCTCAATAGTGTCGATGAAGCAGCTGCGGTCCCTGAATGTTAGCGATAACCGTCTCACAGAGGTTCCAGCTGACATAAGGAGCCTTGTCTCGCTTGAAATCTTGAATATGGAGAAAAATGAGATCTCAGAGTTGAGCTGTGAGGATTTTAAGGAGACAACACGTCTTAGAAACATTTCTCTGAACAGTAAYCGTATCTTTGAGATGAAGAGTTGCGTCATTCAACACCTTACAGACCTACGGTTTTTAGATCTGGGTAAAAATCGCATTGCAGCTTATGAAGATATCTTTGAAATTGCCCTTTATAAGCTTGAATTCCTAGATATAAGCTACAACCGTATATGGTACCATGAAACAGAGGAGTTCCGAGCTTTAGAGTCTCTAAAAAGTTTGAATGTGGGAACATATTTTACAGCAAAAGCAAAACGTAAAGAATTTACARTTGTATCACCTGAGGATGAACTGAATTTCAGAGGCTTACAACACTTGGAAACTCTTACAGTATACCTGTACTGTGGCAATGATTTCAAAACTCCTCAAGTAGCAACTTACAAAGACAACCTCCATTTCAAATCTTTGAAAAGTTTTTCTGTAATCTGCAGAGGTGATCGCCAACACGCTAGCTTTGATGTCCCACAGAAAATGCTGGAGGCTATGGAAAATTTGGAAATTTTTCAAGCTGAGAATATCTACAYTGAGGCCCCAGGGAAAAGTACATTTTATGACACTCCCCTTCTTAAAAACCTGACTTTAACTGAAGCCAACTTAACTGATTTAGACCCTGAGATTTTTCTAACCATCCCAAGTCTGCAGAGTCTGGATCTTTCCGATTGTAGGATCAGATCTTTGAATTTTCTTGTGCAGGCCAACCTCACTGCTCTCAAATACCTGAAAGTGACTGATAATGAGATAAATGTGGTTAATGAGACAGTCTTCAATTCCCTTCCGTCTCTAACGTACCTGGACCTGAGCAATAACCCGTTCACCTGTGAATGCTCCAATGCAGGTTTTGTCCAGTGGATAAACAGCAACAAGCAAACACAGGTGGTAAACACACATCAGTATAAATGTTCCTTTCCTGTGGACAAACAAGGAACCTTGTTACTAGACTTTGATATCAGGCCCTGTTGGAACGGTGGCAGCTTCCACTACTTCCTCTGCAGCACTTGTCTGGTTCTTCTGACTCTCCTCACATCCTTCATCTACCACTTYCTGAGGTGGCAGCTGGCCTACACATTCCACCTCTTCCTGGCCTTTCTCTACGACAGCAGGAGGAGGAAGACGGCAGATCCTCATCAGTTTGATGCCTTTGTGTCCTACAACGTCCACGATGAGGACTGGGTTTACAGAGAGATGCTTCCAGTGCTGGAGGGAGAGCAGGGCTGGAGACTCTGCCTGCACCACAGAGACTTCCAACCAGGTGAATGTTTATCTCTTTTTCTGAAGCAGTTCAGAAATTAGTTCCATTATTTACTATTAATTTGTTGTGTCCACAGGTAAACCCATCATGGAGAACATCACTGATGCCATTTATGGCAGCAGGAAGACCATCTGTGTGATCAGCCGCCACTACCTGCAGAGTGAATGGTGCTCCAGAGAGATCCAGATGGCCAGGTGGGGGCGCTGTTTCAATTATACAAAGAGAAGAAGAGAAAAGTTCAATAACACAATGGTTGAAGATGATTTTACAAAGACCATTTCTTTTTTTGTTCTGCCTTTTTGCAGCTTCCGTCTGTTTGATGAACAGAAGGATGTGTTGATCCTGCTGTTYCTGGAGGAGATCCCCTCTCGTCATCTGACTCCGTACTACCGCATGAGGAAGCTGGTAAAGAAACGCACCTACCTGAGCTGGCCTCAGGCTGCACAACACCCAGGAGTCTTCTGGCAGAATGTCCAGAGAGCTCTGCAGACAGGAGACGCTCTGACTGAGAACACAGACCTGCTGACCGGACCAGCAGGACCAGCAGGACTCTGAGAAATGAAGCAGAGCTACTATAATTTGAATGTTTAACTTTTATGGAATTTCTTGCCATTATGTTTTTTTAATCCCCATTTTATATGTACTTATTGTATTACTCTTCTATAATTTAAGAAGTCTTATATGTGCATACTTTTGGTAATTTGTAATGTTCAATGGTTGATATCTTTTGTTTTTATATCCATAATGTGTCTTCAGATTGCAGTTTTTTTCTTTCTTTATGTTGTTGTCTTTTATATTTGTTTTTTATATGAGCAAGTTGTTTTATTCTTGGTCAGAGCAGCTGTACTTTTGTTGTTTTGTTGCTTTAAGGTGGAATGTTTAAGTTGCTTTTTGTCAAATTGTTTGTCTTTGGATTAATTTTTCTTTTATTTGTGTGTTACTCAGTATTTTAGTAGTTAATATTGACATGTGGTTTTTGATCATTTTGTATTCCTGTGGTTGTGTTGGTAAATTGGGTTAACCCAATATAATTATAACTTATTTAAAAGGCAAAACATTTATTTTGAGGCAAATCCTAGTCATTGTTGTATTGATCTTATTGAATAAAACTTCAAATCAATTGACCTTCAGAGAGTTTTCTATGTTTATTACAAAAAACAGTTTACCAACACTTTTCTGCAGAGTTTTATTTGTTGCAGAACTGAAGAAGGCTTCACTTCTCTTCTGCTTTTAGATCCACTCTGAGAGAGGAGGAGAAGGAACGAAGCAGCAAATATGAAGAAGTGAGAAGAGAAATTGTGTGGGACCTTAGGCCTTGCTGATGAAAAATTCTCTTTTAGTTTGAGGCAGGAAAATGTTTCTCATCAACTTGGTTTTGTGGCTTTTTATTTTGAAAAAAAATGTGTTTGTGTTTTTTAGATTTAACTTTCTTGCTCAAGTAAAAGTCTCAGATTCCCTGACTTTTTAAAAGGACCACTGAAAATAATCCATAAAATGCACCAGTAGTTTTAAGAATATTATTTTTAGCTATATAGTTCTGTTCTTGTTGCTCTTTTTTTTTTTTCAAAAACAAGTTACGAACTTCTTAACCGATTTTGCAGTTATCTGCTAAAATTTGATGTGGTGGCAGCTGAGAATAATTCACAACACATCGTCTGAACCAGAGGTTCTCAAACTGGGGTCTCAGGGTCTCCAGGAATCTCCAAGATGTTGTTCCAAAATTACAATAAGTGTTTTTAATGCATAAATCCACAATTCCCCAGKAAAACAAACCAAATAATAAAAAATAAATTACTATTCCCATGGAATTTAGTGGTTAAATTGTCAGCAAATTTATTTTAAATCAGCATGAGATTTATGAGGGGGGTCCCAGCTTTTTATCCTTGTTTGAAGAAGTTTAAGAACCCCTGCTCTAAACAAACATCTCATCTGGAAGGACAATTGAAAAGACTACTTTCCAAAAAGAAACAAGAAGTGCATCTGAGTTCAAGAGAAAAAGGGGACGGGTTCCCATCAATGACTGAAAATTCTGAACTGACCTAACCTCATTTATACACTCAACCTGCTTCTGTTTCAGTCTCTCCGATGTAAGGAGGAAGCAGACAAGGCATGGCCACAAGAAAAAAAAGAACCTGAGAAATAAGGGGAAAAAAGATTATCCACCAAAAAATAGCATGACAGAGAAAACAGAAATGAAAAACCACAAATGTCAAATTGAAAGAAGCGAAAACAAATAGTTTTGTCATCAGTTTGGATGTTTTCTCTCTGTTGTTGTCAGAGGAGCAGCGGGTTCCAGATTCTGAGGAGGACATGACATGAGGAGTGGCCTGACATTAGGCTGGGATGAGACTCAGGTTTATTTCCACAGGTTGAAGGTAAGCTTTTAAAAAAACGTTACTCACAGGTGAGTTACAACTAGGAAGCAGTCTATTAATGTTTGTCAAGAAGATCTGGAAAGGGAACACAGGAATAATTAACTTAAGAAGTTTAAATAAACAGGTAAAGAGGCCATCTTCACCACAGTAACTTTCACAAACTGAGAAAGGTGATCCACCTCAGCTTTGGAATCTGGAGCCTGATTGGACCCAAAGCAGGAGGTGGCCGCACCTGCTGGACAACCTCTGAACTGCATCTTCACCTGCAAAGGATAGAAGAAGAAAATGAGAGGTAAAAGACAGACAACTTGGAATCCTGAGAAGAGAAAATTTACAAAACAACATTTAGAAATCTTTTACTTTGAAATGTTGCACTTTTTTCCTGTCTCTGGCCTTGTGATRGACTGGACAACCTGTCCTTGGCCTTGTGGGTACCTGACCTCTCTGTTGACTGCTGAGACAGCCTTCAGTGCAAACACACATGCATGCATGATCTGCAACCTTGAGAACAAAGCAGGCACAGAAAATGAATGAGAGTTTTACTCTAAATGGCAAACTGGGAAACTTGCCTTTATTTATTCTCCTCCTGCGCAAAACACAAACTTTTGTCATTGAAAAATCACCCGTGTTTCTGCTCCTTATTCTCACTTTGGAAGTACAACGAAGGCAAGATTAGTCTTGTCAGTTCTGAACTATTCCATCTGGATGAGCAGTGAAATGTCACCATTTTTCCAGCTGCTGTCAGCGAAGTTTAAAGGAAGAAAGATGCTCTGCTGTGCTTAATGAGTTAGACCAGGGGTGTCCAAACATTTTCCCTGAGAGGGCCAAAATTAAAATTAATCTGAGGGCCGCGGGCCAAATGCAATAATATAAGAAATGCTTAATACTTAAGTAAAGTTGTTTTATTTTTTATGATTAAGCTAGCAGCCAATGTGGTTGTCCACATATTTTTTTCAGCCCATGGACATGGAGAAAATTCAACTTGTGCTCAGACAGCAAAGATTCATGGGACTTTTCATAATTTAAAATTTGTGTATATGTGGTCTTATAAGGTGTTCAAATCTATATATGGGCTTAAATTTAATATAAATGTCTCTTGTAGTTACTTGTATTTTATATATAATCTTAGCATAATTACGATCTAATAACCAGAACAACTGCTGGTGGGCCAAATCAAATGGCTAAGTGGGCCAATTTTGGCCCACGGGCCCCACTTTGGGCACCTCTGAGTTAGACAAAAGGTACATTCATTATGTTATAACCTTCTAAATAATCTTAATAACTTAAGAGCAAAACATGAAATATGGCCTAACTTGTTTGTTTTTTGGGGTAAAAATGGTTTTCGCTTTGTTTGCTGGAAACGTTTGAACAGTAACAAATCTGAGAGGATAATAAAACACGTTAGTTTTCCTCTCTTCTGAGCACAAAATGTTGCATTTTAACATTAAACCTGAAGTTCTTCCTCAGAGGTGATAATTAGCCCACATCCAGACTCCGAGCTGTGATTTTCTCCGGTCTGGGTACAGATGCTGCTCCAACGCCTCCATCAATGAGTCAAATTATCCTCCTGTAATAACACAGCTGTCTGTCAGCGCAGCTGCAGCTTCAGACGAGTGTTTGGGATAATTTTAGGTTTGCTCTGATCACAGTCACATGTTGCCTCTTTGCTTTCAGAAAAACAAAATCAGACCACCAACATTGTTTTGATACACTGATATACGATGATACACTGTTAATGAACAGTCACATTTAATGAAATTTACAGCAATGAATGTTAGATTTTATTTTAAAAAAAACAATTTTTAATGCAAACTTTGTCCACTAGAGAGTGCTCACAGGTTTGTATTTATAAAGTCAAAATCTCCAGGAACAGATTTTCCTATTTGAGTTTAAAAAAATTTAAAAAAAATGATTTTTTAAAATCTAAAACTATTGGAACCATTTGTGACTGTTAACAAAAAATCCCATGAACCACTGGATGGATTTTATTAAAAATGTCAGAAAATAATCATTGGATGTACATCTACAGCTGGTTGAATTTTGGAGTCAGCTCAACTCCCAATGGCAACCCCAGCCAAGTGCTATTAGGAAACACAACAATGGCTACAGCTCAGACAATTCTAATGATTTTTGAGCAAAAATTAGTTGTGGTTGTAGCTGAGTTATCTTTAACACATAGTCTGAGCTCTAGCTCACAAAATATCACAACATCTCATGAGATCATGTATAATAATGATAATAATAATGATAATAATAATACATTTATAATAATACATTTATAATAATACATTTATAATTATACATGTATTGATGAATTAATATGAATAATACATAATATCATTTCTCAAATTTGATCCCTTTTAGGTGCATTGATGTCATGTTCAGTTGCAGTTATTCATCTTGTGAGTTCAGATCATCTAACCTCTGACCTTCAGCCATGAGAAATTCTCAAACTGCTTTCAGCTGCAAGAAATAAAGATGATTTTACTACTTTCTTTTACTCTTAATTAAAAGATGCTGTAACCTAAAAATATCCCCAAACACTGACAGAGCACACCCTGAGTTGTGAGCCAAGACTGACTGATTCAGACAATTCAAAACTCACATGTGCATCACTTTCACGTTGGCTTGCTCAGCAACATTAAACAGGTTGTCTCGGTTTATTCTCGTCAGATTTTGGGAGACAAACATTACAGATGGTGAGAATTAAGCAGCCAGCTGGTGCGTCTAAGTTACAGAAACTGGTTTCATCGATGTAAATTTAGATGTCGGTTGGCTCCTGTTTTCATCACTCACTTTTTTTTAAAGRTTCCCAAGTTTCTGTCGTTAAAACTAAATTCCAGTTTAATAAAAAGCTACAGTTTTTTATGTATTTTTTTGTTTTGAGGGGGCTTTTTAGAAAAATAAATGCTTCAGAAGAAAGAAGACAGTTCGCTCAAAGCTGAGAGCAAAAAGCTCATAAAAATGATGTTTTCAGCCACTTCCTCCCACCGAAGGTCTCTTTTAAGAGAGTTCCTATCAGTGTGGATGTTTGACACGCTGATATAAATTGTTTCTCTGATCTGACATGATGTTGGGGAGAAAAAAAAGAAAAGAAAAAAATGGACTTCTGTGATAAAGTCGACCCCACTTGATGTACGATTCAATCTCAGGCAAATGGCTTGTGTGTCGTGTGGCTCCATCTGTCAGATTCAGATCCAGGAATAAAGGAAACCATGAAAAACAGTAAAAAAAAACAGTCTGCATCAAAGCTACTGCACTGTCACGTTTTGCAGTGTTAAATCAACAATTTAAAACTGTGTCTGAGTCTATTTGTTCCTTATCTGAATTGGTGTCAATTTAACTCTTTCCATAGTGTTAAATTTTCAGAGTACAATTTATCTCTAAACAGAGTTAAAAATTAACACTGACTAACACTGAACAGTGTTAACAAAACTTAACACTTCAAGTCAAATAACTGATGAGAGTAGATATGATTCTAATCAGAGTTAATGAGGTACTCCACTGCGGTGACAAATCAACTCTGTTTCTCATGCTTTTCAACACTGCATTGAGTTATTGATGGATAACACTGGAGGTTCATATACCTCCTGAGTGTTAATTTTACACTTGACTGTGTCGATTTTTTTACTCCTGCTGTGTAGAGGGGTAATTTGAACGTGTAAGTTTAACACTTAAGCGTTAAGATTAACTCTTTTTAGTTTTGCATTAACATTACATAGTAATTTCTGGATAAGTGTAATGGAGTCGACCTTCACACACCAGGAAGTACCTCTCACTATGGTGTCGATTAATATCACAAACTTAAGGTTGAACAGCTTGATCAAACTGAACAAGAAAACTAACCAGAACAACTAATATTTACACACGTGAACTTCTTTAATAAACATGCAAAAACATGATTTCTGTAAGATTACCCAGCATGCCTTGCTRTGAAAATACTGGTCTGTCTGACATGAGGTGGAAGAGGGCGGGGCTTTTTCAGAATACTTCTTTCAACACTGCATGGTGTCATATAACAACACTGTTAAATGTTATATAAGACTTAACCRTGGGCGGAGCTTATGTCCAGTGTTGAGACATCACTGAGGAAATCAACACTGTGAATTAACACCAACGCTGGAAGTCAGTTTACTTAGAAAGTGTTAAAAATAACATCAGGGGGAGTTAAATTGACTCTGAAAAGTTTAACACTGAATTTTTAACAATCTGTTTTGTAGCTTTAATAAAAATGAACTACTGAGGTTCTGTTAAGTCAGCTACCATTTTTACAGTGGACTTTCATAAAAAAATTAGTTAATGTCTGAAGCTCAAGCTAAAACCTAATAAAAAATAAAAAAAACAAATAAAAAACTTAACTGACACATTTTAAACCTCTTACCTCACAGCATATCTGCTCTATTCTTTGAGAAACTTCATTGTAAACTAAGCCGGCTCCTCTCCGTCCCTCCATAGGCCTCCCCACGTCTCCATCATCACCTCCGTCTCCCAATGAGCTCAGGTCCATCGCTATAGCAACTGGTTGCCACGGGCGACGAGACACAGCCAGCGCCAGCGAGCATCCTCCTCTCAGTTGTTGTCGAAGGCGGTCTGAGAGGAGAGAAAGGCGAGGCGCGGGCAGAGCAGCGGCAAGAGGAAGAGGCTTTTTTTTTCTCTTGTCAAAGTAAAACCAACAACATGTAAAAAAGAAAAAAGCAGAGGAAAAATATATTTTAAACTAGCCGACTGGATTTTTTTTTTTTATCTCTGCTTCAGCCGGTGGAAACGCAACGAGAAAGATGGTGACAACTTGTTCTCCCAGGAAAGTGTTGCTCCAGCGCTCGGCATTGCCGGAGTCCAGGTGGTGACCCCGACGCCGAAACACCACCACCACCGAGACGACGGAGACCAGGACCGGCTCCGACGCCGCCGCTGTCTCCTACGGGGTGAGTCCCAACTCACCCTCTGGTTTCAGTTTGGGCTTCGTGCCCACACCTGATTCATGTCTGCCAGGTGACTCGTGGGTCCAGAATGTCACGGACCTCTGCGTGTGTGCCGGGCGTGTGTTATGGCGTCTGCAGCTGGTAAACACCCAGGAAACTCTGGGTCCAAAATCTGCCTTTGTCGCCTTAAAGATACTGAGTGAAATTTTGGTTCAAATATTTCTGTCAGGACAAGTTGTTCATGTGCAACACTAACAGATCTGTGCTAATATTTCTCAAATATGTCACTAAAACATTTTAAAATATGTAAATTAGCCTTTTTTCCATTTAAAACCTCATTT